GCTATGTTCCACCGACGCGCAAGTCAGGTGGAGGACAAAGAGAGCGCCCGCATGCATTCGTGTGCTGTCCATTTCGACGCAAATGCAACCCAAATTTGGGCTAAAAATGGGTTGACAGCGAATGAAAAATGTACGCCCGTCCGTTTGCAGTCGCGTGTTGGGCTGCGATTTGTGTCCATTTCACCCCAAATGGACGCGGCCGGACCAAATGGGGTCACCCGTTGAAATTGGCCTAAGGATATTGCTTTGAGACCAGTTCTGCTACATGTCATCTGCAGGAGATGGTCTCACCGTTGGGGCTGTACGACCCGGTCGTACATGAATTTTTATGCATGTGGCAATTGGAGGTGGGTCCATCGAACTCCTGTGTGGTTGAAACTTTGAAAGGCGGGGTTAGTACAAATTCATGGATGCCTTTCAATAAATAAAATTTATTCAGAAAGAAAAAAAAGCATGTTTCAAACATAAATTAATATGGATAGGAAAGAATATACTTTAGACATAAATTCTACTCCTTTTAATCCAAAATAAGTGTCACACTTTTAAATTAAGGTTAAATATACGTCTAGTTTAAAACTGCTACACTTATTATGGATTGAAGGGAGTACTAGGTGAGTAAAATATTAAGTTCAAGCATAAAATTTATTCAAAGTGTATAGTTTGCATTAAAGTATGAGGGTCAGGGCATCTCCAACTATCTTCACCAAACCGAATGCCCACAAATATCCAAGGACACTCAGATGTGTTGGGGAGAGGATTTGACTCATTTTGAGCCAAAGGAGAGAACCAACATCTACTGAGGAAGCTTGGGGAGAGCTCTTATAAATACCTCTCAAACCCTAGCTGTCGCTGTCAAATTCATCATTTGTCAAATTCATCATTATCTACAATACGATGGCTTCCTGATTGTCTACTATAACAAGTTTGCTCGGCTCCGGCGAGTGACGGGCGATGACGGCAGGCACGGTTGACTGCTTTAGTTGTCGCTGGATGGTCTATGCATATGGGAGTAATTTTTATCATGTCTGATATTCGATGAACTGTCATGATCGAAGATGGACATATCAAAAGTTTCTCGAAAAAAAGTATGTACATCAAGTAAAATATTATTGATCACGATACTGGGATGTAGCACACATATATGAGGAGAGGGAGTAAGCTTGTATGTAAAGAACCAACTTTTATATTTAATCACCATACACTGCATTATACTAGTTGTAGTCTTGTAAAATAAACACTCTTACCAGAAAATAAGACACAAGCCATGGAAGATGCTTTAAAGTAGTGCGTCAAGGACATTCACACAGCCCAATTAGACAAACCAAATTCATGATACACCAGTAAATACATAGAGATCAACAAGCTAGTATGTGCTTCTGCTTTCAAGATGTATCGTCACTTGATTCATGTCAATATGACATGACTAAGTTGCCAGTAAGGCAATAACTTGTCCAAGAATATCGAATGCGACCTGTGGTTGGTTTCGCTTTAGTTCAGCAAACCCCTCGGTGTTTATGATTTCTTGTAATCTCTTGCCGTTTCTTGTCATATACCTGAGACAGCAACCCTTGAGCTGCTGACAATGGTATTGCTCTGCAAGATCCAAGGTGAAACCCACCGTGTTGATATCCAGCGCCTTGCTCAACCTCATCTCGCATATCAGCTTTAGTCTTTCCATTGCGTAACGATCAGCCGCGACGAGCAGATGCTGCACCATGTTTGTGGTCTCTTCCGTCGCCTCATCCATAGACTCTGGCAGACGATCATTGTACATGTAATGCAGCACAATCTCGAAAACCTTTGCATTTATGTCCTTGATGAGGATGCTGCTTCCTCTGCTCTCCATCATGGTGCCGCACAGCTTGGCTCGGAAGACGGGCGATCGCGCAGCGAGTACGCACGCGTGCACCTTGAATCTCTTGAACCAGCCGATCTTGATGGTCAAGTCCGCCTTGAGGCCGCTGTCTAGAAGATTAGCTAGATCTTTGCTTAGGTCTGCGGGTGGCACGATGACGCTGTCGTTATCGTCGCCCTCCAGTCGGTCGTCCGTCAGTATTGGGACCTCGACGGTGCACTTGATCACGAGATAGTCATCCTTGAGGCACCCGGACGCGGCCAAGTCGGCTTTACTCACGAACTTGTCGGTACCCCTGAGAATGTGGATTTTGTCTAACCCTATGCGTGCACAACTTGAATCACAACCATCATCATGCATGCATAGGGATACGGGCCATCACCTGAAAAGTTGGGTCACATGCGCTAGATTCCTTTGGGGCCCATGTGTGCATGCTGGTGCTAGCACATGCTATCTCTCTTCTAAACTAAATTACACATTAAACAAACATGGTGCATAACTTTGAAATTAACTTTGCAAATTTAAATCCGTTTATGTATTTGTGTTTCTCATGGCCAACTCTACGAAACAAGTCCAATATTGATATATTTCAAATTAAATTGTGAGTCCAAGAAAAAAAATCGGGCATGGCTCAAACAGTTTCATAATTTTTTTATTAAAGTTCAAACACGTTGTTTATAAAGTTCTTCGGTCCCTGATACTTTTTCTAGCAAAGTTCTTCAATGTTTCTAACAAAATGCAGATCCACTATTTATAAAGTTCTTCAACTCCTGATTCTATTTATTTAGCACTTTCCAATTAAAATGAAAAGTTCTTCATTGTTTCTAGTGAAGTCCAGTAATTTATGAAATGGTTATAAAAAGTTCTTTGTAATTTGAAGTTAAAGTTCAAGTAGGGTGTTAATAAAAATCTACAGCGATTCTGCTTAAAACACAAAGGAAATAAAAAATGAGGGAAGAAAGGGGAGCAGCAAGAAACAAAGAGTAGTATTTTATAGAAGAAACAGGTCACCCCATGGGAAAAGCGAACCTACATCTGCATGCATAGATAGTCTACTCTGCAATCTGCATGCACGCAGCGCCCGCATGGGTCCCGGTTGGACCAGTTGTGTGGATCCGAGCGAGAACGGAGGGAGGGGATACGCGTTGCGCGCGTAAGCAGTTAGACATCGCCTTATTCGTACCCCTGACCAACGAAGTGGACGAGAACTTCGGGGTGTGCAAACCGATTTTGTGCTTCTCCCCTGTCGCCGGCGCCGCGGGGTCCTGAAGGCAGAAGGAATAGTAGGCCGTGACCTTATCCTCGCCGGCGTTCATCAGCTTAAGGAAAATCGAACTGAACTGGTCGTCGACAACACTAGTGTTGCCGTTCGGGTAGTACAGGATAGCCCAGTCGTGATCAGCAACGCGGAAAGTGTCGGAAGTGAGCTTAATCTTGCCCGTGATGGTGGAGTGGCCGACGACCTTGAACAGGTGCACGCCGGCGTGAACCACCACCGTTGAGGAGGCCTTGGTTACCATGGCGGCCGGCCGGCGGACTTGTAGCGAAGAGGTTTCGAGAAACAAAATCGATCTAAACGAATCGATGGGCAGACAGAGCCACGGACGTACATCGATCGATGTTTTTAATTGCGCGTATATTTGTCGGAGATTCACCCGGATGCTGGTACTTGTTAATCGCTACGGATGTGTTTCCTGCGCCGGTCTCTTGCTTATCACAGACGTGAGGAGGGCAACAGAACGGTCTTTTTTTTTAAGAAAACACTAGGGACACAGGCGTTCATATATATGCGCATACACTCATCTCTATAAAAACACACACGCAGACCCTACCTTTATAATCACATACGATAGATTGACGGGCATATCGTCTTGAGATTGACAAGATCAACACATATGCCTTATAGTCGACGAAAACGTCTCCTCCCACTGAACGAGCATCGCCAAAATTTTAAAATAAATCCAGAAATAATGCGAGCATTAGTACTTGAACCCTGATGAGCTAGGGTTATCACTGTCTTTCTAACCATCCAACCACATATTGGTTCGGCAAAACGGTCCATTATGCTCGATACTAGTCACCTTATTGGTGTCGCTAATGACAAACCTACTTATGGAAGAAAGTTTAACGCATGTTGGCTTGCTGAGGAGACAGTAGAGGAGGTAGTGAAGACAGCCTAGCTGAGGCCACCACCCTCCCCCTCGCGTCGTCCTCCTCGGGCGGCTCGTGGGCGAAACCCTAGCCGCCGTGCAAGCCCCTCCTCCTGGCTCTCTCCTCCCCCGCCGCCGCCGTCGGCCCTCGCCGGTCTGGCCCCCACGGTGGTTGGTAGCGGCGGGGCTTCCCCTCGCGCCATCCTCGCTTGCGATCCCCCTCCACGCTCCCTAACCCTCGCTCTGGTCTCCGTCTATCCCCTTTCTGCGCGGCGCTCTTCCCCAACTCTAGACTCGGCGGCTCCCATTGGACGCTCCAGAGGCTGCCCTTTCCGCTGGATCCGGCACTGGTGCTGGTTCCGATGGCAGCGCCTGCTCGTTCCGGCTTTCCCCCATTGGGCATGGCTCACGGCCTTGCACCTATTGAAGCTCGCTATAGCCGTGTTCAAGTCGCCGGATCCTATGCTCTAGCAGTTGGTGGTCATCAATTTCGGCCACAGACGCACTTTTGTTCTCCCGGGGCTATATGGTGGCTGTGGAGGTGTCCCGGGTGGTTGTGGCGGGGTTGTTGGCTGGCGGTGGATGTGATGTGTCGGCTCTACGACGAGCGGCGACCATGGGTGCTAGTCTGTGATTTCGGCCTTGTGGGCGGCGAGGTTGTGGCAGACGTGTACCGTGATGGTAGGGTGCCCCGTCGGTTGGCGTTCCTGCTTTTGATGAAGATCTCTGTTCCTCTCAGTTGGCTTGCGCCCCTCAGATCTGATCTATGGCCGTATGGACGGAGTGTGGAGCGGGATCGGGGGAAACCCTTGTTCATCGGCGCGGCCACGACATAGACGGCGCCATTGTTTGGTGTCGGATCCCTCCTTGGAGGCCTTGTTGAGGTCCCCTCCCACCGGTCACCTTCCCTTCTTGTGGTGAAATCTCTGGTTCCCCCTGTGGACCGTGGTGGCGTGCTGTCGTCTCATCCCTTCCAGGAGGCAGCGTACGGGATGCGTGGAAGCAAGGTTGGCGCTTGCTGCTTGTTTGAGGGCGGATGGTAGCGTCTTCCTGTGCATCTTCTTTCGCTAGTCTTCTTGTTGCACTATCATTCTTCAAGTCTTGTTTGGATGTGTGGTTGGTTGTGCTCGGTGGTGAGGTCACGGGAGCCCTACGGTTGTGGTTCAAACTCGGATTTCTCATGTCCGGGATGCTATGTTGGTTTTGTCAATGCGGCTCTCGGTGAGCTTTCTACCTTCCGACGTTACGACGTCCTTCGGGCCAGGGCAAGAGGATTGTGGTCCTCCTCGGAGGTTGAATCGAATGGCGTGCCGGTAGGTTCTGCGGGAGTAGGCGATGGTCACCGTTGCTGGTGCTTCTTGTTGTTCTCACCTTGATGCTGGTGTAGCTGTTGTCCTAGATGTTTGGACTTGGCAATTCAGGCTGGGCTCCTTCTTCCACTTTTTTATTGCTATTGTTGTTAGGCTATGAGCTGTTCTAGCACTTTGTATCTCTATCGTTTTATTGTTTTCTTCCTTTGTAAGCTGTTAGTTTGTAATCCTGGTTGGTTGATGACTTTGTTAATTCAAAGCTGGGCTAGGTTCGAACCTTCCCTCGGGCTCGCCCGTCGCCTTTTTTTTTAAAGACAGTCTGGCTGAGGAGACCATGGAGGATGGTGATCATGGACGACGAAGGAGAGGAGACAACACCAAAGACATGAGATTTGGGACTAATTGTTGGAATCAAAGGCCAACTCCGACGGGCGACCCCAAACGGATGTTCGTTTTGTTCAAATTTTTTCCATTTAGGTCGGGCAAATGGACACCATCTGACCGGTTTTGGGAGTGCGGTGCTAGTGCGCCCAACGCAGCCGACGCATTTGGTCCGGCTAGCCGACGACCAAATTTAGACAATTTTTTAACTAAAAAAACATTGCATATACTCCTCGTGTTCCTAAATATTGGTCCTTTTACATATTGCAGTACGAACTACATACGGAACAAAATAAGTGAATCTACATCTAAGGCCTGTTCTAATCTCCTTCAGCTTCTATCTTCTAAAAATTCTGGAGTGAATCTGTCCCGACGGTTTAGGTCATAGAAGCTGGAAACGAGAAGTTGAGCTGGGCCGTAATACAAATTAGAGAAGCCAGGGAAATCCAGCTCCACGAAAGCAAGAAGTGGGAGTTGAGAGTATTTACAATGATATTGCCACCGCCTAAGAAAACGATTCGTTATCTTCCCCCTCAAAACAGAAAATGAATCGCTAGAGGAGCGGCTCCCTCTCTCGTACATAGGGCTGGCCGAACTGGGCTGGTTCCAGACGGCCCGTTATGGCGCTTAGGCAGGCCAGCGACGCTGCCAGCCCATGCTAGCGATGGAGAAGTGTAGCGATGCTGCCGAACGGAATGACTTCGCTACCATGGAGCAAGAAGCTGCGCTAAGAAGCTGGATTCGTGGAGTTTGGAGAAGCTGGAGGATATCAAAACAGGCCCTAAAATATATATATATATATATATATATATATATATATATATATATATATATATATATATATATATATATATATGTATGTATGTATGCAATTCCTATTGAAATCCCTAAAAAGCCTTATATTCAGAAACGAAGATAACAGTTTACAACCAAATAAATCAAGTAGTATCATAACAATAAATAGTTTCACAACAGAATAAACAACACAAGGTTTACAACCAAATTTAAATTGTCACGAATACATCGAAAGAAAATAAACCGATACATATACTAGTTTTTTGTTTTTGTAAGAAAACTTCCAATCTATTCATCTTCAATCATGTCGGTACAATGAATATCAGAAATAATAAAAACTACATCCAGATCCGCAGAC